CAGCAGCAAACTCAGCAGCAATCTACAGCTGGATCACAGAGAAGAACCCAAGATAGCAATTTTAACCTTACTCATTATGGGGTCCAGCAGATCCCTTCTGCCTATAAGGATTTAGCTGAGCCGTGGATTCAGGTAATTTTGCTTTGTAAAAAGCTTAAAACATAAAAACTGATTTTTAACTGTTTTGCTAGATTTGGTCGACCAACAATTCAAACATTTGTTCTGCATACTATCAGCTTTATGGCTAATTATTATTGGAAAGAATTATATTTAACTTCACTAGAAGAGAAGCTTTTCTAGTCTTGTTTGAACTGTGGTTTCAGTTTTGGTCTTGTCTTCATCTCATGCCTGTTATTAAAGGTCCATATGATTAGTGTTCCTAACTTTGGTTTTGGTTGTTCAAGTGTCACATAAGCACAAAGTTGGCACTTACTGTTACCCACCCAAGTTGTGTTGCAGGAGCCGAATGTCCTAAATAACCTCTCAGGTCTGGAGGTGGGTTCAGCTGAGCAGGGGTCACAGACGTAGAAGAGTGAAAAAGCGTATTCTGCTGTAATTTTTGTCTGGTATAGCCAGCGCTTGGTTTCAGGGTTGTTTGTATCGATGTCCAGTCTGAAAAATTAAAATCCAAAGTGAATGAAGCCATCCACACAGTCATCCTCCCATTTCTCTTAACAGCGTTTCTGGAGAACCAATGACTTGTAATTTATGATGTTTCACTTTTATCGCAGAATCTTTTTTTAAGACACTGTACCTGTTGCTAGCAAGAATGTGTCAGACTTTTTTAGGTGATTTTTCACCAGAATCATTTCTTTGCTCTTCTTGACTGCTGTTTTTAGGTACTTAAGTTGGAGTTTTATTCATTTTGACTCTTGTAATGTTGCTTCTTCCTTGGCAGGTTTTTGGAATGGAGTTAGTTGGCTGCTTGTTTTCTCGAAACTGGAATATACGAGAGATGGCACTTAGACGTCTTTCCCATGATGTTAGCGGTGCTCTATTACTGGCTAATGGTGAAAGCACTGGGAATTCTGGAAGCAGCAGTGGAAACAACACAAGTGCTGGAGCTCTGGGAGCAGCTAGTGGGTCATCTCAGACCAGTATCTCAGGAGATGTGGTGGTGGAATCCTGCTGCAGTGTGCTGTCCATGGTCTGTGCCGACCCTGTCTACAAAGTGTATGTTGCTGCTTTAGTAAGTAGTTGTTTACTCATTGTATTCTAGTAATTTCTAAGTTACTTCCTTTTTGAAGGGGAGGGAAAAGGAGGATGTATGTGAAATGAGGAATGCTAGTAATTGTTGCTGAGCACTGATGACTTTTAACCGTCACCCGAAAGCGGGATGAACAAAATAGTCAGCAGCAGTGAAATGGCTTGACTTCATTGGCCAAATATAAGGAAATGCTTGCTACAGTGCTGCGTATTAATCGTAGTTGCATGACTGGGGTTCTTTCCAATCTCAGATAATACCTGACTAATTCTAACAGTAAATAAGTAGTAAGCTATTCACCCTTTGAACATTTCACTGATATTTTGAATACAATTTGTATAAAACTGTTTACAGTTCTTTAAAAAAATTTAAAGTGGCATAGCTAATTTGGTTTCATATTTACAATTTTTTTCCTTTCTCTTAGAAAACTTTAAGAGCCATGCTGGTATATACTCCCTGTCATACTTTGGCAGAGAGGACTAAACTACAGCGACTTCTCAAGCCAGTTGTAGAGACGATATTAGTTAAATGTGCAGATGCCAACAGGTATAGTGCCTCATGAACTTCAAATTAATTTTGGATGATTACTGAAATGTCTTGAAGCTTCATTTGTAGCTGTTTATGTGGAACTAGGAGACCATTTATGGTTGACGGTGAAATAAAATATGTGGATCATAAGTGTAAATATATGATGTTTTTATTAAAGTCTAATTGCTACCAACAAAATTTTGACTTGAAAGAGTAAGTTTTGAAGGCATCTGATTGTATTTTTCCAGTACTTACAGATCTTAAATGATACTTTGTTTTCATAAGGCCTTTTACCCCCTTAAAATAAAGGAAGATGTTAGGTGCAGTCACCAGCCATCCCCTCCATCTCAGTTGATACTGTTTTGGTCTAATTCTCATGACTCATCTTTAAGCAGTCAGCACGTACCTCTGAGGAAGTACCAATGATTCCTACTTCAACAAAAGCTCTTGTACCTCTGTGCCATAAAGCGTTAACATAACACTTCTACGTTTTATTTCCCAATGTAATGTTAGGAGATGGCCTTTCTGAGTCAATGCCCTTGGCATTTGTCTTGAGTTGGCCTTGTCTTCCTGTCGCAAGCTACCCCATTTGTTGTGCCAGACCAACCATTTCTTCACCTGTACTGTAAACTTAGATGAAATCCACCACTTTGATTTTTGTTTCTTAGGATTTAGTTCCTAAGCAGCATTTCTTCTGAAACTGTAGCTAGAGATGCCCTGGCAATAGTCTAGCAATAGAATATCTAAAGCTAAAGGCGTAAGTGAAATAGAACTGTACCTTGTGTTGCTGGATTTATGGATTTGGCCTCTTTTTGCAAGAGGATGAGGCCCTATATGGGTTTCTGTTTGCTTATTACTGATAGACATGACATTTCAGTAAGTATCTGTAAAAGATGTCACAGCTACTGGTAGCGTACAGATAGAGGATTATCGAATGTATTGAAATAAAGTTATGTGAAATCATTTTCCATGCACAAGTCCAAGATAATGATCATTGAAATATAATTGTTATGGTGTTTTTCCTTGAAAGTATCTGCTACGAGTTATTTTTTGGCTTTAATTTCTTACAGTCGAACAAGTCAACTTTCTGTCTCAACTCTGTTGGAGATGTGTAAAGGCCAAGCGGGCGAGCTGGCAGTTGGGAGAGAAATCCTTAAATCTGGTAATAATGGCTCTTCATATATAATTGAATTACAAATATGAGCAAATATACCGAAGTGTTTTGTATTTAATGTGGGATTTATCCAATAGCAGCATGGCAAAAAAAATATATCAGCGGTTTGGAAGGGGAGTAAATGTGTATTACAAATGTACAATGTATATTTATGTATGATACAGTTTTGATCTTTTTTTAGATCAGAATTTAGATGTGAACATATCTAATTTTATTTTATCAACTTTTTATAGGGTCCATTGGTATTGGTGGTGTTGATTACGTCTTAAATTGTATTCTTGGAACCCAAACTGAATCTAGCAACTGGCAAGCACTACTGGGGAGACTTTGTCTAATAGACAGACTTCTGTTGGAATTTCCTGGTGAATTTTATCCCCACATTGTCTGTGGAGATGTTTTACAGGCTGATACCGTAGTAGACAGGTACTTACTTACATTATGTGACTATTCTTTTTAGTTGAATACGATGTTGTTGATTTCTTAAAAAAAAAAAAAGGTGTTCTAATTTCCTGTAAACAAATAGTGTATATTTATAGTCAAAAGTCTGCTTACTTACAGAGTAAATCGTTGCCTCTTAAAATTTCTGACCTGTGAATCAGTTTTGAAGCACTTGTGCAGCAATAAGGCTTCTTTCTACTGCAGAATTGGCAGCTAAATACATTATCTTGAACTGGCTTTCTGGGCATTAGTTAACTAGAATATTGGTGTTTAAAAAAACCTATTTTCCTTTTTTTTTTTTTAGGTATAAGAAACTTCTCTCCCTCTTAACTTTCGCCTTGCAGTCTATTGACAATTCCCACTCAATGGTTGGTAAGCTATCACGGAGAGTATTTTTGAGTGCAGCAAGAATGGTGGCAAGAGTGCCCCATGTTTTTGTAAAGCTGTTAGAGATGTTGAGTGTGACGAGCTCAACGCATTATACAAGGATGCGTCGACGTCTGATGGCAATAGCAGATGAAATGGAAATTGCAGAAGCCATCCAGCTAGGCATGGAGGACATTCACTCTGGGGAATATCGACATGAAGACTTTTTGCAGCTGTTACCTGTACCAGATAACTCCCCAGAAGCTACAGAAAATAATACTCCTAACAATACTGTCCAGTTGTCAGGGAAAAGTGGGAAAGGTTTAAGTGATAAAAAAGTGAGCGCCAGTCCAGAGGACATTTCCGAGACGCTGGCTGGCCTTGCTGTGGGACTTCCTGTTTCATCAGTAACCACAGAGCAACCAAAGCCAGCCATTCAAACAAAAGGAAAACCCCACAGTCAATGTTTGAACTCTTCTCCCTCATCCAGTCATTCCCCATCACTATTCCCAACTCTTGTGTCTCCTTCAAATCCATCTGTACCAGCTGGCACTGTAACAGATGTCTCTAAGCTTAGACCTCAGGGATTCGTTCCCTGCAAAATTCCCTCACCTTCTCCTCAAACACAGCGGAAACTTTCTCTCCAGTTTCAGAGAAACTGTTCTGAAAATAAAGAACCAGAGAAACTTTCTCCAGTTTTTACCCAAGCCAGACCATTGCTATCCAGCCACATACACAGACCGAAGCCATCGCGACCCACCCCAAGTGATGTGAACAAGCAGAGAGAAACCTTAAAACACAGTATGACGCTTGACCTGAATGATATTTCACAGTGTGATGGCAATAGTAGTAGTAGCAGCAGTGCAGTTATACCAAGTGAAGAGACAGTGTTCACACCCGTAGATGAAAAATGTCGCTTGGATGTTAATGCAGAGCTCAATTCCAGTATTGAGGACCTACTCGAGGCCTCCATGCCCACGAGTGATGGCACAGTTACATTCAAGTCCGAAGTTGCAGTTCTTTCTCCTGAGAGGGCAGAAAATGATGATACTTACAAAGATGATGTAAATCATAATCAAAAATGCAAGGAAAAGATGGAAGCTGAAGAGGAGGAAGCTTTAGCTATTGCTATGGCAATGTCAGCGTCTCAAGATGCCCTGCCAATAATTCCCCAACTACAGGTCGA